AAATTCATCAAAGTTCCTTAGACAACACCTTCCAAACCCAAGAGTGCTACCATCTAGAAGGACAAGGACAACAGATACATGAGAACACCAACACCTGCAAATTCCCCTCCAAGCTAGTCACCATCCTGACTTGAAATATATTGCCATTCCTTCATTGTTGCTGGGTCAAAATCCTGGAACTCCTTCTATAATAGCATTGTGGGTCTACCTACAGTTCAAGAAAGCAGCACACCACCAATTTTTTTGAGAGCAACTAACAATGTGCAATAAGATATCCCAAAATGAGTAAAAAGAATCCCACCCTCTGATAGTCCCAACTGTGCCTGAACTCAATAGTAGGCATTCCCGATACTGCAACCAATCCCAAGAAGAATGCTCAACAGAAGCTCAACCCAAGTAAAGCACGGGCTCTGGGTGGAGAGAGATGAGGAAAATGGAGGGGTGAGTTTTATACTAGTACAGGAGAAAATGGGGGGCTACTATCTTTAGGGGTACTCCCAAAGCTCAAAGGACACTCAGCGAAGATTGTGGTCCCTCCTTTCTGCATTTTCAAAAAGGCTGTCCACTCTTACCTTCCTCCTTGTGCCAGTCATATTATAGCGTGGGCAGGGTAATGTTGAGTTTAGTTGAGCTTTTAACAATCTCAATTGAGGTTAATTAGTTATGTCAATGACAAAAGCTCGTGGCTTTTAAAGCATGGGTGGTTTAATTTTATGTTAAAACACAACACTTAAAGGTCATGAAGTCCCAGATTATTTGTGGGAAGAATGAAAATCAAAAATATTGTGATGGTGGCTTTTGCCACTGCATTCAGTTTGGTGTTAGTCAGTCACTATTTTCAAAATGATAAAAAACAGTGGAAATTATTTTTATTTCAAAGACCAGCTCCTAAGGCTGTTGTGACTAATTATAATGCTGTTTCTGCTCTCCTGGCTGGTATTGGCTTAGCATGAATTCTGGGTACTTTCTGTCATGTAACTCAGTGCCACACCAGGTGTTGCATTTATTAGCTAAGCCATCAATCAGATTGTCAACAAATGTGTATTTTATATGGTCAGCGAGTTATACCACTTATTAGCCTTTTAATATTTGCCGAGCAACTCATCAAGTAAGTAGATGGTGTTGTCTTTAAATAGATACCAATAATAATTTGACTTTGTAGGGCATTCTCCACACATCAGAGTCCTTCACAACCAATGATCCCACAAAGTGATGGTGTCCAGCACCCTGAAAGGTACCACACAGGCCTCTTATGATAAATAACAGGATGTGCTTGACCACACGGAACAATTTAGAAACTGGACATTGAGAAAAGTTGAGCTCACACACCAACTAAATTTAATGAAGAGAACACATTGTTGATAATATGGTGAGGCAAATAGCAAAGAGAAAAATTTCGAGTGAAGGACAAGAATCCAAAAAACACAATCGTTAAGTAAAAATAAAGACAATTTCAGACAAAAAGTAAAATGACAGAAAGATTCTTGTTGTTTTTCACCTACCCTAAGAGGAGCATTTGATTTTTTTGGAAATCGTGACAATTTCAATGATACAATTGCTGTTAAATCCATTACCATCCAGGAAAAATCAGCTTCAGATCAACAAACACTCAATCATATGCCAGTACAGTTCTAGTTTTGAGTTTGAGTTCCAGCAAAGGTCAGACTTTCAATCTGCTTGCCATATGTACAGTGGACTTCATGAATTCCCACTGTCCAGACACTTACCAAGGACACCTGCACCACATGACTAGGTAATATGTTTCTCTTTTGCTGCTACAATCTCAATAAAAGTTACATGGATGCTGGGAATAATTAAGACAGCAATGCTCTAGACAGGCTGTCAAGAAAGGTTTACAAGTGCCAGGATAGATTTGACATGCAAGTAAACATAGTGAATATGCTGGACTTTAGGGAATTCTGCTTTGTGAGTAAAACTAACTTTACAACATACCTGCGTATACAAAATCCTTTAACAAGTGACCCTTTTTAAACTGTACCAATGTTAAGATTTAATTTTTAACAGAACAACGGGAGCTAGATGACACTGCAGGGGTAACAAATATTGCAATCAGATATTATAGCACCTTAAACGATGCCAAAATAATCATTAGTGTAGATTTATTTCAACAATAATTAAACAATGTTTGATCACTTTCTACCACCAACCCCATCACTTTTTTGATGCCAGCCAGGATCACTCAATGTTTTTTAGTGTTAACTCTCCCTATCCTATGATTTCAGGCTCCCCTGAAGGGATCAACATAGTTTGGATTGAAGATGAAGGAATAAACAGAATTCATGAGAATGCTTTTCCAGTCCCAGGATGACAGGCAGGGAGACTGAATGGGGTGGAGTGTTGGGGTGAAAGACAGCTGTGTTGGAACAGCTCCCTAACACAGTCCCATCACCAAGGAAGTCTCCCAGTGGCAGGGTTGGACAGGAATCGGATGGTTGACAATGGGGATTTCCCATGCCGTTGTCATTTTGCTGGCAGCAGAGCAGCTCCCCCCTTTCCTCTCCTCTCAACACCATGGGGAGGCCAATAGTTTTGACCAGAATTTATCCCTATAGCTAACACAGGGAGCAGTTGGAACTGGAGGTTTCATGGCCCTGGGAGACAGCTCACGGCCCCAGTGGGTTCAGCGGAGCGGCCTGCCTTTTCTAAACTTGTGATTTTGAATTTGTTATTCCTATTTTTTAATACCATTTCCATTTCAATATCCAAATTTCCTGAATAATACCCTCCTCTCCGGGGTTGGATGGCCTAGGCTTTAAGGTTCCCAGCCTTCTGACTGGACCAGTAATATCTACACAGCACACCACTACCTTTAATTAGATGGTGAGCCCCAAGCTGGCCAATTAGTACGGATGGTCTGGGATCCCATTTGTTCTGAATGTCAGCGTCTTGAAACCTGCTGGATAATCCTGCCCATGTTGATTACAGTTTGATGTGTCTCTTTTGAGTTGTCTTTAATCTGCAAATGATTTCCCAGTCTGACAAATCAGTTCACTTATTTATGCTGCAGCAGGGTAGTTGCTGTGGTTTCACATAACTCTTAAGAGTTCTAAAGTTTTGAGTCAGGACTACAATAAAAATAACTCATCCCCCAACACCCAGATTAAGCTTTGAGAGCTCATCTGAATAAATCAGATTTCTTTGGTTACTTTTTGAGATTGTTTCTTAGTGACCTTCCTACAAATCGATGTACTTAGGCGTTTAGAGATAGTAGGAACTGCCGATGCTGGAGAATCTGAGATAACAAGGTGTAGAGCTGGATGAACACAGCAGGCCAAGCAGCATCAGCGGAGCAGGAAAGCTGACGTTTCGGGTCTGGACCCTTCTTCAGAAAAAGGTGTTTTACTCAGGTGTTTAACATGAAGCTGTACTCTGGATGCAGTTTAGGGTTTACATTTTTTTAAGCAATAGGGTTTTGTCCATTTTACTTTTCATGTATTTTGCAAATCTTTTAAATCAGATAGGGATGAATCTTGGCACATAAAAATAAGTTTATGCGGTTTCACTGTACTGCTTATTGGGCACTAGTATGTAGCAATATTTGGCAAGCTTCCTCATTGAGTCTACAAGCTGCTAGTCTGGACAATAAACCTGTTTCCTGCTCATTATCATGAAGTAGAGGCTGAGACAAATTTAGCATCTACCTGTGCTTTTGCAATAACATGTTTGCTCACCTTGGTAGCACTTTGCGGGCATGAAATGCAGCTCCAAAGAATGGTGTGAGGAGGGCTTCTAATTTCAATTACTCAACCTCAGTTATATCATCAAGCAGGTGCAGGATAGGCACTTTGCTTCGAAGATGGAAGGAGGGATAGATAGAAAAACATCATCATCAGGGCGTTCTTTGCTACTTCATTAATGATTTAATGCGACATCGAGGGTAGATCATTGTCCCTGCTAGTGATAACCAGAAGATATCAGTAACCATTGTTCAAAAATAAAATTTAGAAAGAATTAGTATTTTTGAATTGTGTGTTTGGGTTGTCATATACCAAAATGGGACTTGAAATTCTCTCAGAGAGAATTAAGTGGACTTCTGCTGCAGGAGACTGTATAGTTGCAACATCTATAAATATAGCCAATAACTAGACCAAAATGGTGATAAATGGGGTGAAGATTTGGAGATGTAGTCTATTGTAGCACTGTCTGCAATGTGAACCCAGGAGGTGGATGAGTGGACCTATCTCATAGTGATGCTATGATGCTCAAACTTGTGATATAAACTGTGGGAAATTTGTTTTTGTTATTTGATGTGAGTTTGGGTTTCAGGTTTTTGAGCTATTAACCAATAGATTTTTCTGTGTGTCTGAAATTTTTCTGTAGCCATTGTGATTTCTAAAGCCAGCTGTAAAATGAATGGATTTTATGCACTGCTAATGGACTTTTATTTATCTTACTTTGTCAGTGATGCAGTATGGTAAATAATAGAGCCTCAGAGGTTTGTTAAAAGTGTGGTACTTGGCTTTTGTTTGAAAGTTTAAGAGAAATGCCCATTGCTGAGACAGTTAAGTCAGAGTGACTCAAAACCTACTGAGGTGTTAAAACTTACTCTGATGTGAGTATTATATGAGTGGTGTTCTGAGAACTGTACTAGGGGTGTGTCTGGGCAATATACAAAAACTATTTTGCTTCTTTTCAATTTATAAAGAAGTGTTTCAGCGCTAATTGTATTATAATCTCACTTTGTGTTGGAAAAATCTTTAATCTCATATTAGAAATAGATATTTTCAATTATTCTATTTTGTCTTCATTTCTTTTGTAATAAACTTCTGTTCATTGTTGAAGCAAAATCTACAGCATTTTTGTCCTTATGCTTCAGTGACAGACCACTTTGTTTCAACAAAAACAAATAAAAATAGTATCTATCATACCAGGTCTGGAATCTGATTTGTCCAGTAGTAACATTATCTTGGATCATAATAGTTATATATTAATATCTATACCAGTCTATGTCATGCCTTGTGCCTTTAACTCTATTCCAGGTTACCTGAATGTAATGGTTAACAACTACTGGAGAGAGCGTTGGTGTCGGCTAATGGGCAATACACTCTACTTCCACAAGGACAGAACAGATCTAAGGACACACATTAACTCCATTCTGCTGCAGGGATGTGAGGTGATACCAGGATTTGGACCAAAGCATCCCTTTGCTTTTCGGATTCTTCGAAAAGGACATGACATTTGTGTGTTAGAGGTGCAGTTATTTACAATGAATTAAGATTGGTATTAAATAATTGGATAATGGTTAATTTTTATTATTAAAGAACAAACTAAAGTGAATATGAAATTAAAGAGGATACTTAATCCGTCCATCTTATTCCTCAGTATTTTAGTTCATTCAGGCTAATATCAAACTGCATTCAGAGCTTTGTGAATATCTTTGGTTCCCTTAGATGGCATGGAGGATCATTCTGTAGATAGCTGCAGTGAGCTCAGGGAACTTGTGCAGTACATAAGTGAGCTGTTGTGATGTGAACAGGCCAACATGGTCCTGGTTTTGATCATCACCTTTACTTAGCATAAGTCTAAGCAGGGCACTAATAGTGGTTCTACACTTACTGTTTGCACCAAGTAAATTACAGGGGAGTATCTGCTCCTGATTGCTGGAAGTGCATCCATGTGAACTACAGATGAGGAAGGGCTAAGTCCACATAGAGTTAGAACTGCATTGTTTTTTACAGCACTGGAACAGGTCTTTCAGCCTGAAATGCATTTGCCATTTTGCTTTTTTTGGTCAACCTATTCAGACATGTTATGACACACCACTGGATCAGGTGGGATTGAATCCAGATCTCCTGGCACAGAGGTAGGGACACTACCACTGCATCACCAGAGTCCCCTGTATGCCATATATTGATGTTTGCACCTTCCACCTTTCAAAATGTTTCTGTTCCTTTCTCTCAATTACTTGCCTAGATTTTTTTTCCTGAACACTTTGCAAAAAAAGTAAATCAAAAATGAATGCAAACCAACAAAGAATCTGTGCTTGATTGTTAGGGTTCATATGACTAGCCTGCTGATACTGTGCATCAAAGTTCACACTTGAACATGCTCACTTGGGTGAAGTATCTCACTAAGCAATCAGTGACTTCAGGAATGGAGGAAGGTCGAAAATTAATGAAACTAAAATAATAAATCACAAAATGCTAGGTGGATTTTATAAAGGCTTTGGGCCAAATAACCAAAGGGCATTTTTGAGCACATATTATGTGAACACAGTGCCAGGCATAAAGATAGATAGATAGATTCTTTGACTGTGTAAGAAACAAGACACATTATGAAAAATTGAAGGTGAATATAAAGCTCAAGTATTGGTTGTCATTTTTGTTGCATCCTCAACACTTTTTTTGTGGCAAAATTAATTCAAAGCACATCCTTTATTTATTGAATTTAATTAATCTCTGAGATTGCATTATAAACAGGAATATCGCACACCACCAATACAGGAATATAGTTGGATTAGTCTTTCCCATCATGGAAACTAATGTTAGAATTAAAACAATGTCAATCTGACACATTTGTAAATCAATAAAAAATATTCAAAAACATGTTCTGGTAATGTTTTGAAATGATTTCCTTATTGATAAATTTGTTTCACATATGATTTCTAGAGATCATTCATAATCCTCTCTTGTGTGATTGCAGACAAGCTGTTCTGAGGAGATGGGTAGGTGGCTGGGACTTCTACTTGCTGAGACAGGCTCCAATACAAAACCAGAGGCTTTGCATTATGACTACGTGGATGTGGAAACAATAGCAAACATAATGGATGCTGTTAGACATTCTTTCTGGTGAGAACTTTATTCATTATTGTGAAGATGAAAGTTCAAATTAACCTTTTTTGTTGCTTGTAGTTTATAATCATTTGTTTTATTTAAAGATCAAATGCTTACACTGTGAGCAACTAGCATTTAGAATTGAAACAGTAAATACATTCAACTACGTTGGGAAGGAAGCTGTCCAATTTTAATTAATGTTTTTACCGCTACTTTCAAACTAGCCATGGGCTATCACCTTGTGTAGATTTTGACAGTGACCATGAGTGAATCATTTGAATATGCTGGCTCTTATAAGCTAATAGTTCTTTACTCACATAATATTGTGGTGCATTTTCATTAAGGGTAACCAGACAGTAAGTAGAAGCAGAAATCTCCCCCTCCTTAATCTCTCGATGGTAAATCTAGCTGATGTGCTGTTGTTTCTCCATATAAAACATGGCCACGTTTAGGATTAATGTACTCTGTTTCAATACCTAGGTGGGCAGCCTCCTCAAGTAATTCAGCACTTTATCTATATGATTCCAGAACATATGATGATGTACCATATGAGAAAGTCCAGGTAAGGTATCCAATAGGGAAATGATCTGAAGAAACATTTAAAAAGCAACCAAAGAGAGGGTGCAAACAATATAATTTTTATCACATATTTTAAAATTACCAGTGTTATGGACCAGTTTTTGTAACAGTGTTAATGATGAGGCTAACAGCACAGGGTGAATTGGCCAGAAACTTTAGATATCCATCCTTACAGTTAACTGCAAAAAAATTCACCGTTCAAAAACTCCCGGGGTACACTGCTGTGGTCCCACCAATCAAATCAGCATCGAAATTATTTCAACAGACTTAATGGGAAACACGAGCCATTAATTCCACTCTCAAAAGGCCTGAAAATGTTAGAGTTTATGTATTCAGAAGAAAGATTTTAAAGATATAAGTGATTATCACTGATCAACCTGTTTGGCCCTGAAAATCTGATTTTACCAGTCTTGCTTCTTCAGAGAATATTGTGTTGGAAGTTAAACAATGCCTATTTTTTGTAACTTCTTCTATCTGTCCCTCCCCCTTAATCTCATCTACAATTCACAATCTTGATTCCACATTTTTGTTCATGATTTAAATCAATTTTAGAGTTCCTGCTCCTCCATGATTTAACTGCTCCATCTTTTAATGAGAATTTTTTTCAATCAGATTTTGATGAAGAATCATGCTGCTTGACTTGTGTAACTCTGAGCTAACACTGAGTGGGTTGGCTCAAGTTCTGGATTGCAGCAAGTCTGTACATTGAAGCACACAAAAAATTTCAGGGTTGCTGTCAGTGATGTGAACAGCAAATGCTGTTCCTTCATCAGTGAGATCAAAACACTGGCTAGATTTCTGAAGAAGGGTCTCGGCCCGAAACGTCAGCCTTCCTGTTCCTCTGATGCTGCTTGGCCTGCTGTGTTCGTCCAGCTTTGCACCTTGTTATCTCACTGGCTAGTATTTACTTGCTTTGCACACTACCTTTACTGAAAAAGTGTACTCAGAATCTTCACTTTTAGAATCCATCCATCCTCCCTTCCTTCCATCCTGCATTTCTCCTGTAAATGACTTGACAGACACAAGAAATTGTCTTTTACTTGAGCCAAGTGCAGACTGGCGTAGGATGAATATGATTAAAGGAGTTAGTGCATGGCTCGAAGACTGGTGTGAGAGAAATAGATTCCAGTTCATGGGATACTAGCACAAATCTGTAGTATTGACATGGTCTACTCTTGAATCATGCTGGGACTGATTTTCATGTGATCTTCATAACGAGGACCGTAGAGAGATTTTTAAAATAAATAAAGGGGTAGGGTGGGGGGGAAGGATCAAGCTTGGGTAAATGTAAATTTCAGGTTAGAACTGAAACAAAAGACCTGTACATGCATTACTCCCACATTATCTCTTTTAGAATCCAATGGTATCAGATCCTGGGGATTTTGTCAGCTTTTGGAGAAGATTAAGGAACTAATACTTTTTTGTCTGCTGATGGTTATTACTTTATGTTCCTCACTTTTATTTAATATCTAAAGCATAATTTGTTCCTTCCACATCTTCTTAGTTCAACATTTCTGTCATTGCTTCATAATGTTATCTGTTCCTCCTTCTAAAGTATTAATGTTTACTTGCGATATTCACCCTTTTATAATTATGATTTATTTGAAATATTTCATCACTGTCAGGGTATCAACTTAGTCACAAGAGATTACTCAGAAGACCACATTCTCTTTTTAAGGCTAGTTGAAATTAAGTGGTTTGCATGTATGTAAATGGTACAGTTTTCATTCACAACCAACCTTTATATCCCTAGAAGATGCAGTTTATTATTTTCATTATTTCTTTTGTGTATTTCATTGCACTAAAGTCATATTGCTTCCAGTTGAGTGGAGGTAGTAACTGAGCTGGAAACCTTTTTTTTCGTTTGAGTTTCCAGGTAAATCGTTATATAAAATGTAACCTTTCAAAATAACTATTATGACCTCCTAATTGCACACTAATGTGTGATGGTATGGCTACAGGGTCATTTGCATCATTCCTTGAAAACTTAAAAGTTACCATTTTATCTGGTTTAATTGTAGAACTGCTCATTTATATCATGGATCAATATTTATCTTCCTTGCAGTATCATGATCTAACGTTAACATTTTGCTGGTCTGAATCAACATCGTATTACCATTGCCTAGTTCTTCCTTAAACAAGTCCTGCCAGAGTGTTATGAATTTGCCCATGGGTCACACAATACAGAAGCAGTCAAATCATTATGAAGACAAGTGGTACCAATGAAAACAGTCTCAACTTTATTAGGAAACAAGTTACAATAGCCTTTAATACTAAATAATACTATAATAATAACCCTATACCAGCCCTTAAGCTTACAATAAGTCCCAAGTCTCTTGTAGATTTACGTATTTGCTCTCTCTCTGTGGCATTGGGACTGGAAAGCTGCTTTCTCCCTCTATCCCTATGTCAGCTTGACCCTGCCTTTTGTCATTTTTTAAAAATTCATTCACAGGATGAGGGTGTCGCTGGCCAGGCAGCATTTATTGCCCATCCCTAATTGCCCAGAGGGCAGTTAAGAGTCAACCAGATTGCAGTGGGTCTGGAGTGACATATAGGCCAGACCAGGTAAGGACAACAGTTTCCTTCCCTAAAAGACATTAGTGAACCAGATGGGTTTTTTGCAACAATTGACAATGGATTCACATTCATCGTTAGACTCTTAATTCCAGATTTTTATTGAATTCAAATTCCACCAACTGCCATGGCAGAATTGGAACCCGGGTCCCCAGAACATTATCTAGGTCTCTGGATTAACAATCCAGCAATAATACCACTAGGTCATCACCTCCCTGAGGTCTCGTGCTGGTGTACTCAGAAGGTCTCCCCCTGATCTACATGTATGTCCTATTTTTATATCTTTTCCTCGAGCTTCTGGATCTTTCTATAGCTTTAGCCAATCAGGAGATCGTTCTTAATGGCTACTGAGAATTTGGATGGCTTTGTTAATCGCTAAATGTCCTGTTAATGTTTGTTCCATTGTTTTAGGCTTGAGTGTCTGGTTCTTAGTTGTTAATATGCATCCTTTCGTTGTTCAGTTGATGAGATATGTCTGCAGGATAATTATTGTCAGGATGTGTCCTTTGTACTATGTTAATATCTTCAGCACCTAGTTGTTGTTTGATGCTGGTTTCTGTGTTTTGTGACCTCAGAGTTTTTCTTGACCAGTGTACCCAGCATCCCTTGCTGTTTGGCCAAGTTAACAATCTGTGTTTTAGCAGCCAGGAGATTGCTATATTACTTTCATCAGTAGAGTAGGATGTCACACTTGTTTGGAAACCATGCAGTCATCATTGATTCAAAATTTAATGAATCAACGTACTCCCTGACAATTTAGTCTTTCAAGAACACACTTTGATATACTGCTAAGCTACATGATTCTGAAGGTCCCAGTTTATGCTGAATTGGTTGATCTAACTGTAGTGATTGTAATGAGGTCAGGCAGGTGGACTTCAGAGAATGAGTTTCCTAATTGGGACTGTTAATCTGGTCCAATCAGGAAGCCCTGGCTGACAGATACAAGCAGGAGTGTCAGACATCCTGTTCACTCTGAGAGCTGGCTCTGAGGGAGATGGATTAGTGTCAAGGACTCTTCACGTGTAAATAAAGGGTGAATTGGTGACAGGATTCTCGCCTCCGTGGAGTTATTTCGCTAGCCATGCTTCACTTACCTTAAAAGACCCTTGGCTAAAAGTAAATTGTCACATGACTACTGATATAGGCCAGTTCAGAACAGAAAAATGTTTTGCTTTCTTTCCTCATGTAACAAAATATTTCTGCTTTGGAGGGTAGAGGAAAATAGGAACAGAAGTAAGCCAATCAGACCTTTTCAAGCCTGCTCGGCCATAATATAATTTAGTGATGTCCATTCAGTAATTCAAGTTCCATTTCCTTATCTACATTAGCCTCGATACTGCTACCTAAAAAAAATTTGTCACTCTTGGTCTTTGAAGCTCCAAATGACCAAGCGTCTACAGTGTTTGGGACGAGAGAATTCTAGATCTCTGCTACATTTTTTTGGGTAACAGTATTTCCTGGAATTCCCTCTTAAATATCTTAGCTATTGTTCCAAGATTCTGCTCCTTTTGTTTTTAATTCCTTCATCAGAGGAAGTAGTTTCTCTCAAGTTTCACTAATAAAGTAGAAACACGCCATTTGAAAATTCACAGTAAATTTGGAGTAAAATTATGAAGTACTTATAATGCATATAAAGCTAAGATTGAACAAAATCATTGGATAACAAGGTGTAGAGCTGGATGAACACAGCAGGCCAAGCAGCATCA